ACCCGTTGTGAAGCATTCGTCGATTCGGATTTTATTGGCGTTGGTGGTACAGTTGGATTTGGATTTGGTCCAGATGGATGTGAAGACAGCCTTTCTACACGGTGATTTAGATGAGGAGATCTACATGACACAACCACAGGGTTTCAAAGCTGCAGGAAAGGAAAATTTGGTTTGTAAGCTGAAGAAGTCTCTTTATGGTTTGAAGCAGTCACCAAGACAGTGGTATAAGAGATTCGACGGCTTTATGATTGGCCGAGGGTACACGAGGAGCCCATATGACCCATGTGTTTATATGCACAAGCTACAGGATGGTGAGCTCATATATTTGCTTTTATATGTTGACGATATGCTTATTGCTTCCAGGAATTCTTCGGCTATTCGAAAGTTGAAATATGAGTTGTCATCCGAGTTTGAGATGAAGGATCTTGGAGAGGCAAAGAAGATATAGGGTATGGAGATCGAGAGAGACAGGGTGAAAGGGAGTTTGAAGCTTACACAGAAGAGCTACTTGCAGAAGAAGTTGAAGAAATTCAGCTTTGATGGCAATGCAAAAGCAGTTAGCACACCATTGGCTCCCCACTTCAAGATTTCAGTATTGATGTCACCTGTTTCAGTTGAGGACAGAGATTATATGTCGAAGGTTCCATATGCCAGTGCAATAGGTAGCTTGATGTATGCGATGGTGTGTACGGGGCCAGATTTGTCACAGGCCCTGAGCATGGTATCGAGATACATGCATGATCCCGGGAAGGGTCATTGGGAGGCTGTGAAGTGGATTCTACGGTATGTTAGAGGCACCGTGGATGTTGGTTTAGTATTCCAGAAGGATGAGAAGGATGGGCAGGCTTGTATTGGATATGTGGATTCAGATTATGCTGGAGATCTTGACAAACGCCGGTCTACTTCAGGTTATGCTTTTACATTGGCAGGTGCACCTGTATGTTGGCGTTGCACGTTTCAGTCCACAGTGGCTCTCTCTACTATAGAGGCAGAGTATATGGTGGTTACTGAAGCTATTAAGGAGGCTTTATGGTTGCGTGGATTATTGGAGGACTTGGGAATCGCTCAGGAGACTATTCGGGTATATTGTGATAGCATGTCGGCTATCTATTTGGCGAAGAACCAGGTTTATCATGCGCGCACGAAGCACATGGACGTCAGATTCCACTTTGTACGTGACGTTTTGGATGATGGAGACGTCATATTAGAGAAGGTACACACAAATGACAATCCTGCAGATATGTTGACCAAAGTTGTTTCAGGAGTGAAATTTGGTCATTGTTTGAAGCTTTTGAACATCCTTCAGTGCTGAGGCCTTTGGAGGCCATTTGGGTGAACTATGTTCGGCTTGATTCCTTGGGCAAGAGGATACGTAGGCAGTCTTTCAGATGCAATCGGTTTGATCAGTTGATTCAGATGGGGGGAGAGATCATATTTCAGCTCTAGGTTGGTTCCCTGACTTGTTGAGGGACTAATGGATGATTTGGTGTCGGCTCAGTTTTTGGTGAAACATTCGCCGAGGTGGAGAATTGAAGAATTACAGGAAATCAACAGCAGAAAGCAGAAAGTCTGGCGGTCGACCGGCGCGGTCGACTGCAAACGTGCACAATACCTACTGCATTTCTGAGTTGTATATAACTCAAATCCTGATTGTTTAGGGTTAAGGCAAGGACGAATTTGAGCATCCTTGGAGAGAGGATTGTTGCATTCAATTGTGGGAGAGATTTGAGAGATCAAGAGCTTTGTTTTAGGGTTTGGTCTGAGAGATTTGTAACTCTCCCCCCCCCTGCCCCGTGGACGTAGGCAACTTGCCGATCCACGTAAAATTCTTTGTTCTTGATGTGGTTGTGTTTTGCATAGAGTTTATGGTTTAGTTCGAGTTATTGTTGTGTTGCCCTAGAAAGCTTCCGCCGCGCACAACAAATTGGGCATTGGATTAATAGATATTCGTTTAATCTTCAAGGAGTTGACTCGAGAGAGAGAGAGAGAGAGAGAGAGAAGTGGCAAATAAAAAAAAAGTGAGGATGATGATCGATAGTATTAATTGTTTGATATTTAATTTGTTTTCTTTGCTGATCTCATGGCACAAGTCATTCTACTTGTGTTTTAACAAGATCATTACCAAGTCTGGCCTTATCAAATCAGATATGATCACTAAATATTAAAAGATTGATCATGCTTTGTGTATAGAAATTAAATCAAGCCAAACGACCGTTGGGAGAGAGGACATTTTCCTGAGAATTATAATGAAATATCAGAAAGTCTGAGATAGGATACTATTAATAGTAGTTATTTTAGTAGTAGTAGTAGTAATAATATAATACTAATACTAATAATAATAATAAGGATTTGGCATGCTTGAAAAGGTCCACAATTTTGTTTTGATGAAACTAACGTCTTAATTTGCAGGAAGAGGACATATATACTTGCAATTTTTCTTTTCTTGTTCTACAATAAAAGAATATAAAGCAGGGAAAACATGCAAATTCTAAATAGAAAATATCTCCCACCAGGTACGTAGTCGTTTTCAGTAGCGAAACAGATTATGACTAGTTGATGATGATCCACGGCAAAAATAAGAATTCTGGAGACAACTAAATGCTGGTTCAATTATGCTCTAAAATTATATATATTTTTTTAAAGGAAAAGAAACACGTTGAACTGTGTAAATTATCACGGAGGGCAACATCATCCAGTTAGGCGATGGATGATCTTTGTTGATAAGCTTCTCCAATCACGAGCGACTTATCAAATTGCATAGCAGCAATACTCAAATAGTCTTTTTCTTCAAAATAATAGTAGTAATAGTAATAATAATAATAATAATAATAATAATAATAAATAAATCATATGGCCGTCTCTTTTCATGGAGCCTCTATGACTCAAATTGTTAGTTAATGAAGTGACCATATCCAAGTCATTTTTATGAAGGTAGCATACACGAATTAGCTTGACTACCCAAAACTTGTAGAAGACTAAGGAGAGTTGGTGAAATATGTGATTTACATTAATAATAATAATAAAGAAAACTTAAGGCAGGGTATAATTCAGATCAGGGCCGTACTTAGGAATTTTGGGGCCCAAGGCGAAATATTAGATGAGGCCTAAGTGATACAACTCATAATAGATTTTATCTCATTCTTCTTACCTTTTGAGCTGTAAAATTACTAATTAAATTTTTATATTCAATATTTTCTAACATATTATTTTCGATAGATAATATTGCTAAACCATTCAATCTATCTTGTAACATGGTCGATCTTAAATAAAATTTTAGTAATTTTAATTTTGAAAAAAAAATTTCAGCGGAAGCAACTGTTATGGATATAGTCAATGGTACACGATAATCAATACAAGTATTTGGAAAAAAATCTAACCATTTTATATAGTTCAACACTTTAATTGGACTATTAATCTCTATTTTTAAAATTTCCCTAAGCACTCTCAATTCTGAAAACAAATCAAGTCCATTAATATCTAAATGTTCATCATGTTTTAGTGCATTTTCGAGATTAAGATAATATGCTTTCAATTCAATATAATCTAAAGCTTTTAATTTTTTCAAATCAAACAAAAAACCAAATTTTTTTTCATACGTTTTAAATTGTTCAAACCTACTTTCAATTGAGCCAAGCGATTTATCAACTATGTATAAGAAATATTCAATACGAAAAGATTCTTCAGCGTTAAATGTTGTTTCATTACCAATATTTTCATCAAATTTGTTTTTTTTTTCTATGAATTTTACGTTTTTCACGAAATATAGGTTGTACATCCATTTCATTAGCAAGTTCTTTAGTTGAATTCAAAGCAAACATAAAACCATTCTGTCTATAATTTTCTAAATATACAATAAGACCCTTTAATTGATCTATGGCAATATCAATATGCATATCTTTAGATTGTAAGATTTTACTAACTGAATTAACAGCAAACAATATGTCATACCAAATATTCATAGCTAATAAGAATTCAAAATTTTTAATCTCATAAGTTGCTAAGCTATTAGCTTTACTTTTTATCTTTGGATCTTCATTAATTTATGCTAATTGAATCAAAGCATCTCTTATATTTGGAGCTTAAAATTTTATTACTTTAACACTTTCAATCCGACTTTCCCATCTAGTTTGAGATAAAGATTTAACGGATAACTTGCATCTATTATCTTCTAAAATTTTCTATCGTTTAGTAGAGGAAGCAAACAATGAGTATATACGTTGCAACACTCCAAAAAAAGAAATAGCTCTAGGACATGAATTAGCTATATCACATAAGACACTACAACAAAATACAACATTGCCGACGAAACAAAAACGTCGGGAAAAGTTTAAAAAACGTCGGGAAAAATCTTTCCTGACGCAAAATGCAGCGTCGCTAACGCGTCGCCAAAAGTGCGTCAAGGAAAGTATTTGGCGACGCAAATACACTGCGTCGCCAAAAGTACACTTTTGGCGACGCATCATGCGTCGGGAAAAGTGTAACTTTTAGCGACGCGTAATATTTTGCGTCAGCAAAAGTGTACTTTTAGCGACGCATGCAGCGTCGGCAAAAACTATGCGTCGGCAAAAGTATAGCTTTTAGCGACGCTATCTTGCGTCGCCAAAAGTATAACTTTTAGCGACGCTTCACTCTGCGTCGCTAAAAGCTATACTTTTGGCGACGCAAAATAGCGTCGCTAAAAGCTATACTATTGCCGACGTAAGGTAGCGTCGGCAAAAGTGCAGCTTTTAGCGACGCAGAGTGAAGCGTCGCTAAAAACTATACTTTCGCCGACGCAAGATAGCGTCGGCAAACATATAATTTTTGGCAACGGTAAAAAATATAATTTTGTCGACACTAATTTGTATCGCCAAAAGTAATATCTTTTCTGTCAACTACAAGTCTACACTGAACCTGAACATCCACAAAAAATTTACTCCCATTCACATCAACAAAGAAACCAAACATCAAATTATACTCCAAACAAGTTGCATATTATGATAAACAAAGAATTTTCTCTCATTGCAAAATAATTACATTCATTTCCATTTCCAAGTCAACACTCAAAGGCCTGTTTAAATATTCCAGTTTGTCATATTCAGTGTTTTCCATTTCAAAGAAAGACACATTATAAGATTTACAGGAAACTAAACTAAGTTGAAAAAAATAAAACTCGAAGTGAAAGAACGGCATGATTAGTGAACCTCTTCACAGATGAAGGTATATTCTCTGGTAGAGTTTTTGAGACTCTGTCTAACTCCTGCATTTGTTGCTTTGCAGTCACTCTATCAGGGCCACAGTACATATCCATAAGCTCTTTCATGTGTGGTAGCCTTTCCATCAGTTCTTTGATTATTTCCTGTTAGAGATGTTAGAGATATCAGTTCTTTGATTAAACAGTCTTCTATACAGTTTAAAACAGAAGCAAGATTTTCAAGCAAAATCATAGCAAAGATCATGCAGACAGAGACTAGAGGCATTTGAAAATTACACAAAAAGGAAATTACAGACACCCTAACTTATCCATCTCCAACTAGTATTTTCTTCTTCAATATAGTAAAGATTGACATAAAATTTATTGATTTTAACATCTAATTGACGAGTATGATAAGCACATGACACTTCCTACTGGAAGTCGGCACAAGCCTAGATTCATGTGCACATATATATTGGTATACCAAATATGTAATAAGTGTAAGTTAACACTAGATGAATAGGATATTTGATTAGGAAATTTAAATTATGACAACCACATGGTGTGTAGAATGCTCTAGGCTTTATATCTAATAGCCTCTTTTGTACTCCATTGTGTTTCCCTTTAATATTAGATCCATTATCATAACTTTGCCCTCTTATTTCATTAACATCAAGTTCATAATTTTTCAAAATATTTAAAAGTTCACCAAAAAGACCTTTTCCCAAAGTATTATCTACTTTTAAAAACTCTAAAAAGTATTCTTCAATCTTTATTGGACTTGTTGAAGTATCAACACATCTTAAAATAAGAGTCATTTGTTCTTGATGACTTGCATCTGGAGTACGATCAAGGATAACTGAAAAATATTTAGCTTCTTTTATTTTTTTTAATGATTATTTTTTTAATTTCAAAAGCTAGCAACTCTATTAGTTCATTTTGCATTTTATGACTAAGATAATGATTTTGAATTTCACCTTCTTGTATACGTTTAACATGTTCTTGCATTATGGGATCAAATTCCGCTATCATTTCAACTAAGCCTAAAAAGTTTCCATTATTTTTTTCATATATCTTTTCTTTTGTTCCTCGAAATGCAAGATTATTTTTTGATAGATATTTTACTATAGCAATAAGTCTTAGCAAAACTTTTTTCCAGTGTTCTTTTTTTAATTAATTTGTTCTTGAATGTTTTTATCTATTGTCTTATTTTTTTGTAATCTTACTTCTAAATCCACCCATTTACACATATTAGTGATATGTTCATGACTTGTTTCATGATTTTTAATTTTATATCCAAGATTTTTCTATTCCCTAGTACCTTCGTTAACTAACTGACTTGTACTAGATTTTGAAGTAAATAATTTGCAATAAAAACAATAAACTCTATCTAAATCTTTTGAGTAAACTAACCACCTTCTTTCATGTTTTTCTCCATTTGATAATTTTTTAATGTAATATGATGTAGAAAAGTGTCTATTATTTTCATCTTTAGGAAAATCTACTTCTTCAGATGTAGAAAAGTGTCTATTATTTTCATCTTTAGGAAAATCTACTTCTTCATATTTAATTGGACCTTTTTCAACTATTAGATCTATAAAATTTTCATTGATACATTTCCATTGTCCAGAATCATAAATATTGATAAGAATTGAATTTGATATCTCATTCATCTCTAAATTTTTTTCTTGGCCCTCATGTGAATTTTCTTTATATTCTTCATTAAAATTAGGAGTACTAGCTTTTTCTTCTTGAATATTATTATCGGTAATATCATTATTTTGTCCTAAATTCTCAGCTTCTAATTCATTCTCAAGTAAAGAATCTAAAGATTCATCTATTCTTTCTTCTGTTGAAGTTGATGTAACATTATCTTTATTACTAAAAACAAATTTATCAAGAGCTCCTTGTTGAGATCGAATTAATTTTTCTTTATTACTAAAAACAAATTTATCAAGAGCTCCTTGTTGAGATCGAATTAATTTTTCAACTCTTTTTCTTTTTTTTTCAATTTTTGACAACCACTTTCATATTTTTTATTAGACATGCTTTCAAAATATAAAATAGCAATGTATATCTACAATAAGCTCAGCGGACTCTGCAATGTCTAATTAAGCATAAAATATCTACAATGTCTACAATGTCTAATTAAGCATAAAATTAATATGAATAAATGGTAAAGAAAATTAAATAGTTTTAGTTAGAAAGATAGAACCGTGGGACCGTGGCCTGTGGGAGCGGACTCAGCGGAGCCTAGAGTGGAACTGTGAGCTGGGACTCAGGAGTCGGGACTCTGGGAGAGGAGAGGAGGTGCAGACAACGGACTGCCGCCTTCGGCCTGCGGAACAGCGGAAGTGGGCCTGGCCAGGTGGCTAGCGCACGCCGCGGCCCACGGGAGCTCCGAAGAAGAGGAGTTTGAGGGGGAGAGTTGGTTAGAAGTTGCGGTGGCTGATCGGAAGACCCCACCGGAGTGGGAGACTGGAGAGTCCTAGTCTCCTAAGATGTGCGATGCGATCGCGCGATCGGCCCGAAGAAGAGGAGCTTGGGGCGGATGATTTTTTGAGATTTGAGATTTGAGTTTGACTTATGCTAGGGCCGATCGGATGATTTATTGAGCTGAGCTTAGATCGAAAACTTTCTGAGAGAGGAGGCGGCGATAGTGGGAGATTGGAAAATAGGGTTAGGTTTATGCAAGTGTTATATATATTATATATATGGGTGGGTGGGCCTTATCCAACTTGGGGCCCAAAGCAAAGGCCTTAGTTGCCTTATGCTAGGGCAGGGCCCTGAATTTCGGATCCATGTCTCTAGAGAAATTGTCATAGTGAAAGATCACAGGCAGTCACTTGCAGTTAATAAACAATCGCTCATTTTTAGGTCGATGATGCATTTGTATTTGATAAGTAAGCTATAGGGTAAATTACACCAAACCCCCGGTAACTTTCATCATTTCGCAATAAATCCCCCGAAATTTCTAAAATCATACTCCTTTTAAAAGCACGAGTTCGGAAAAATCTTTCTATAGTCAATATTACCCTTCACAATTTTAAATATTTCATTTATATCTTAATTTATCCTAATCATAATTATATCTTATCTTAATCATACGTGAACTATCTATAGCTTAACAATTTAAAAGAATCATACTCCTTTTAAAAGTCATACTCTCTTTAAAAGCACGAGTTCGGGAAAATCTTTCTATAGTCAATATTATTCTTCACAATTTTAAATATTTTATTTATATCTTAATCTATCTTAATCATAATTATATCTTATCCTAATCCTACGTGAACTATCTATAGCTTAACAATTTAAAAGAATCATACTCCTTTTAAAAGCTCTAGTTCATGAAAAAGCGGAAAATCTTTCTATAGTCAATATTACCATTCACAATTTTAAATATTTTATTTATATCTTAATCTATCTTAATCATAATTATATCTTATCCTAATCCTACGTGAACTATCTATAGCTTAACAATTTAAAATATCTTATCCTAATCCTACGTGAACTATCTATAGCTTAACAATTTAAAAGAATCATACTCCTTTTAAAAGTTCGAGTTCATGAAAAATTTTCCATGGTCAATATTATCCTTCACTATTTAGAATATTTTATTTAGATCTTAATCTATCCTAATCATAATTATATCCCTGACTAATCCCATATAAAAAATTATATACCTAATATTACTCTTAAAAAATTGGATTCACTGGTTCAAATTAAAATATGACCAAATCTTTTACTAAATAAAGGGACACAAGATGAAAAAACTAGAATAAAATTCAAACCTGTGTTCTCATAACTTATCATGTAACAAATCTTACGGGAAAATCCCTTTACCGATCTACACCGTCGCCTCCCTGTCCTTTACTACCTCTTCAAATATTTTCTTCCAACTACCATCTTGCTCTATTGACAATTAAAAGAGCAAAAAGCGCATCAAGAAATTTAATTTTGATGATCTTTGAAGTTTTATAGCATAAACAACAAAATTTTGACTTGATGGTTCACAATTTCTCTTTATTTCATTCATCTTTTTTTAGTTTCATATTTGCTATGCTTTTGCAGGAATACCACGAATAAGTATTGAACTTGTGAGATTTTCTAGGTTAATTGCTAGGTGAGTGTTGAAATTTTAACATTTTCTATATTTCTCCTTGATTTTACTTAATTAAGTTTTATTTTTACATAATGTAAAGTTTAATGGCTTTAAACAACAAAATTTCAATTATCTGCCCCACACATCGGACATCCATGACACTCATGGATTAAATTGAACTATTTTTCAAGATCTAACTCCAATTTCTCTTTATTTCATTAATATTTTTTAACTTTTCTCACTTTTATAAAATTTTTAGATACATAATTTGCTCTCTTCCTTCAAGAAGAACAGAAACACAAGTTGAAGATCAATTACGAACCGCAGGTACATGTTTAAATGATAAGGTTCCTATTTTTTTCTTGACTTTTCTTAAATACAGTTTATTTTTTTCTTAAAGAGATGTGCTCACTGTTCTCATGAACATTTGCATTATACACGAACTGAAACTTCAAGCAGTAAGCATAAAACAACCACGTATCTTTTATGGGATTGATTTATTTATTGCTTAAAATGTTATTTTTTTGTGTTTACATCTTTCACGTTTCAAATTTTAACAACATTTAGATATCGTGTTTGTAGTGACATATACAAATATGGAAAAAATTACTGGTAGAAATTAAAAGATTCATGTATTATATATCTATACTTTATAGTTACATGTCTATACTTCTTTGTTCTTTATGCTTAAATTGTTGAGACATATTGTTAGACCCTAGAGGGGGGGTGATTAGGGTCTTATGCTAATCTAATCTGATTTTATATCAATTAAAGCTAATTAATAAGTTATCCTAGCAAGTATAAAATATAACAAGATACATGAGCTAGGATATGCAATATGAACTAATGAATATATCCTAGCAATGAGATATTATAAATATATGAGCAAGGATATATAAACAACACAATGGTAAATAATGTAAACAAAGAGGTGGACAAACTAACTAATGAGACAATGGCGATATGAGCAACGAGCACAAATATAAATGAACGCCAAAGCACACACAAACACAATCAAATGATCACGGAGTTCGGACCTTCCATCCTACGTCTCCGTTCCTCATTCCCGAGGAGAAATCCACTATCACAACCGGGTTTTCTACGCTTATCCGAACAACGTTTACACCTCACACTCAGTTTTCTAGCTAACCGAAAACTTTATAACTACACACTTGCAATCACACTCTACACCCTCTAAGTATTGGCCTAGTCCGTGTCCTCCTCCTTAAGTGCTCGGATACGACCTCTCCCTAGGTTCGTCAACCGACGCCACTCCTCTTGGATTCGACCCCGTCTCTTACCAACCACTCCTCTCGGTGTACAAGTGTATTATAAAGTGTATCTTCACAATGAAACTCACAAATACAAATAATTTGTTCTCTACAATAGATGAGAACTCAATATAAGCTCACACTCAAAGTTACAACACTCACCAACCCAAATATACTATGTATGAATACAATAAGCTCAATATGGGTGTGTGTAACAATAAGTTATCAAATCTAAACTCAATATAAAAACTAGCTTTAAAAAATGATAATCAAAACAAATATGCAAATGTAAAGCTAGATATGAGTTTAGAAATTCTTCTCTGAAAAAACAAGATGGAGAGATGGATTAAGATGAAGCCCAAACAATGTAGATGATCTCCTCCACTTGTGAAACAGTCTTCACAAACCAAACTCTTTTAAAACACACAAAACAAACTTTAAAACCCTTGTTAAACTTGTTTAAAACATTCTCATTGGTTACTCAGATAGAAGGGGTTTGAGGGTTTATATGTGAAGAGAAAACAACAGCAAAAACCCCAAACCAAATCTCACAAAATCACAGAAATCAGATTTTTTTGATTCTGTACAAAAAGAGCCGTTGGGCATACGGCGGTCGATCGTGAAATTCTCGCGGTCGACCGCGAGCCATGTTAGAGACTGAGAAAATTTTTAGAAACATCTGCGGGAAATCAAATCAACTAAACTCAATTGTAAATACTAGCTTAATGATAAACAACAAAGAATTAATACAAAGCAAGATTAAGTTTAGAAATTCTTCTCTGAAAAATAAGATGGAGAGATGGACTAAAATGAAGCCCAAGGAATGTAGATGATCTCCTCCACTTGTGTAAAAAAACTTCTTCTCAAACAAAACTCTTTTAAACAAACACTAAATAAATTTAAACCCTTATTAAACTCTTGTTTAAAAACTTCTTGTATTATTTTGGTATTGGGGTTTGAGGGGTTTATATAGGAAGAGAAACCAACAGGAAAACCCCCAACCAAATCCCCCAAAAATCCAGAAAAAGATTTTTCAGATTCTGTACAAAAAGAACCATTGGGCATATGACGGTCGACCGTGAAATTCTCGCGGTCGACCGCGAGCCATGTTAGAGACTGAGAAAATTTTTAGAAACATCTGCGGTCGACCATGGCGGTCGATCGTGGGAATTTTCAGCTTGACGGTCGACCGTCACGATCGACCATGAAAGTCTCTGCTAGCTCCACAGAGTAAATCAAAGGCGCTGTCGACCGTGGCGGTCGACCGAAAACAGATATATGAGAATGACAATTTTGTAAGCAGTTTTTCTGATTTAAAACCATGTTTAAAAATATCAAATAAATTTCAAAAAATATAAAACTTTGAAAAATGATTGTAGACATGATAATACACATGCTACAAAAACTAGTTTTTAGAAAGAACCTCCCAAATAAAAAATATCATTATTTTACAAAATAGTCCAAAACATAAAAATGTAAACATATGAATTTTGACATTTTGGCTAAACCATGTTTTGAAACAATACAAAATGATTTTGTAGACTTAATAGAAGATGTAAACTATTGTTATAAAGTCTATAAACAATGAATATAGTATTTTATCAAAATACACATATAATACACTAAAACATGATTTCATGGAACTAAATAAAATTGATGTTGATGAAATCATATAAATGCATATAAGTATAAAAAAAAATGTTTTCCAATTGTATTCAATTGTTTCATAGTAAAACTTGAAACCTATCAAACCAAAACATATATGTATATATATAACTATATATATACAAAACCAAAACGTGTATGTGTGTATATGATTGAGCTTAAAGTACTAACACACATAATATAAACCTATAAACTAAATATACCCAAGCTTGTGATCTTCAACGAAGCTCTATCTTGGTACACTCGCGGATGAAGCTTGAACTTGAATCTTTAACTTGAATTGCAAGGCTTCAACCACTATTCCACCAACCTCCATTTGATATGATCGTTATAGCGCAATCCATCCAACCTCCAACTTGTTATTTATCTATAATAAATAGATAAACACAAATACTAGACAAACAATATTAGTTGTAAATTATTTGTTAAACATCATCAAAATAAGAAGGCCAACACATATAATATCTAACTTCTTTTTCTTTAATCTCAGTATCTGATCCATAATAATTGGAACTGTTGTGAACTTTTTTTAACAATTTGAGCTTGAATTATAATGTTGGATGAATTATTTATATACCAACAAGTGATGTGAAAGAGTAAATTAAGCTTATGTTGTAAAGAGCTTGAAATTAAAACATTATTGTTTACGTTTCTTTACCAAGTTCATATTGTAGTTCTTTTAGAAATTCATGGTGTAGTTCTTTTAGTAATGAGCATCTATTTTTTTTAATGTGAGATTAAACCCTCTATCTTGTCCCAAAAGATCATGTCTTATGATAGTTCTTTTATGATTAAATAAAGATTTAAAATATTTAATTGTACTTGTAGGATATTTAAGTAAAGCTTTACAGATAAACTAACTCTCAACTACATGACAATGTTCAACAATGAAGAAGTTGAAATGCTAAAGAAGGTGAAATAGTTGCATAACATGCTCAACATAGATTTTCTCACGAAAAGAAGGGTGAAGACATTATATAGTGGTAAATCTTTTATTTTTATTTTTTGATGGAAAGGAACAGGGTGAGATATCCTATTCATATTTCATTAATAATCCAAAAATCCTATCTTAAGCTTGAATTCTGTAGTCTAATTCCTATTCAAGCGTCCCAATCCTAAGAGCAGAGATATGACCATAGCCATCACCTATTATGAAGGATGAGAAAAAAAAGGAGAGGAGAGCTTAGACTTAGCTGTTCAAGAGAAGGATATGTAATGGAGAATACAAAATATGAAGCTTAAGTAAAGCTCTCATATACATCAAAAGCTAAAGTCTATATGTATCACTATAGAATAATAATTACATTTAAGAATTTTTTAGAGTTTGTATCATCAGAAATTGTCCCCCACCCTAGCCATGTCAAGGTATTAGTTTGTTAAGATAAAAAAAATTATACGTAGCTAACATACTATAATACATAAAGTATTGCAAAAAAAACCTAAAAAGTTTTAAAATTGCACAAAATACCCTAAAAAGTTCAAAATTATAGAACCCACTGCTAGAAACATGACTTTTAGCGACGGACAAATCCGTCGCTAAAAGTCGAAAATCCGTCGCTAAAACCTTTAGCGACGGAAAAAATAAAATTCCGTCGCCAAAATACCGTCAGTACAGTGAGGGTAGCTAAAATTGATTTTAGTGAAGGATATTCCGTCGCTAAATTTTAGCGACGGAAAATTAGCGACGGATAATCTGTCGCATTACTTTAATTAAAAAAATAAAAAAACATTAGCGACGGATATTCCGTAGCTATAACTCACTTTAGCTACGGAAAATCCGTCGCTAAAACTTATTAGCGACGGAAAAGCCGTCGCTATAAATATTTTTTTAAAAATAAAAAAATTAATTAAACGAATATTCCGTCGCTATTAACATTAGCGACGGAAAATCCGTCGGTATTATTTGTCCCCCGTATCTGTTTTTCGTCGCTAAAAGAACATTTAGCGACGGCGAATCCGTCGCTAAATATTTCCAACATTTTTTTAAAAATAATTTGAAAATTGAAAAAACCTGTACAATAATATATTAAATTTAAAACCATGTTCAATCAGCAGTATAATATTCATTCTCACGCATATATAACACATATAATTTAATTAAAATATCCCAACATAATAAACGTTGTTTATACAGTACACACCATGATAAATATTATTTATACAACACACTCATTCATTGTTTTCAAAGGTAAAAAAACAAATCAGTCCTCCAGATCATCATCATCCTCCTCCTCATCACCAGCTCCACCTTTTCTAGAAGTCCCGGCCTGCAAATATCAATCAAACGTTAACAACATGGCATGACATTCAAGTATAGCAATAAGAGAGTATCATGGCATATTCTTATGTATTATACGCACACACGCACAATTTTTACAACAACGCATGCACACACCCTAACAACACATGCACGCATAATTTTTACAACAATACGCGTACACGCACAATTTCTCACCATACGCGCATGTACGCGTACATGCTTATACGTGTACATGCACATACGCGTATACGCACGCACGTACACGCATGCACGCATGTACGCATGCATACACGTGTGCACGCATGCACGTATGCACGCACGCGTACACGCATGCACGCATGCACCACACTCCACACCCCCCACCCCCCCCCCCCTCCCTCCCCCAAAAAATAAAATATATATATTACCTGATCCGCCATAAATCGTCTCCTATATGCCTCCTGAGCCTCCTGAGACTGAGTCGACATGAACTGTATGAACTCTAATGCTTGCTGCTCCCGACGTCTCCGTTCTTCCTCCGCAATCCGCTGATATATTGTTTGCTGTGACTGCCAATCTTCAATCGCTTTCATCCGCTGCTTCATCGAGTCTTGAAATGAACTGCTTCCTGGTGTTCCTGGTGGTGCTGTAGACTCGTAGGTGCTACTAGACTCGTGTGGCCTCTGCTCGGATCCTCTCCACCGGTATCTGTTCTTCCTACTCGGTCCAATGACCGTCTCGATGATGGAGTCCTCCTCCTCTCTACTTAGCCGGGCTGGAGTGCTAGAACCGACCTAAGACTGAGATATTTGCTCTTGTACCTTGGCATGTAATTTCTCCTGCGATATATCAAAATAACCCGAGCAAGTCAACTTTTTAATGATGCATTATTATAAAATTGAATGTACAAATGAACTGTTACTTACAGCCAGATCCTTGTTCTTCGTCTTCTTCTCTTCATCGGCGTAATTCGGGCTCCAAGAAGTCAGATTACGATCTGTAAAATATCCAAGATCTTCCCTTCCCTATTTTATTCAAATATATTATTAACCCATAACACATAAAGTATACTCAAATTGACAATTTATAAGCTAATATATTATATACCTCAAGCTCTAATTAATGATAATGCTGGCTAAAGGACCTGGAGCCCCCGTGGTGCTCGTAACTACGGGGAGCGTTGCGGTTCCTCCTTGCTATTTCAGCTTGAGCCTAGAAAACAATGTCAAATCAGGAAAATATAGAAATTTAGCATATAAAATGAAAAAATTGAGCCTAGAAAACAATGTCAAATCAGGAAAATATAGAAATTTAGCATATAAAATGAAAAAATGTACGATAATAATACCTGGATTTCAGCCGTGTCCCAGTAATCACAAAGTGCAAAAAATTCTACTCCATCTACACGCTCATCAAGATGCCAGAAGCGCTCCTAATCATTTGTTATTTGAACGAAATACTTTTTCTTCACCTCAGATCGCCACCTCTTAAACGATAGATTGATTTGCATGAAGCAGTAAGTCCAGGCACAAATGTTATCGTCAAGGAAGAAAAATCGCTTCAGCATATAAAAAAAAGAGATACAAATCAGTGTATTAAACATAATAATAATCTAATAACTCCAAATGATGAAAATTCAAATAAATAACTCACACATATATATCTCCAACAAGCCACCAGCGCATCAATTCGTTATGATTTCCACGTCAAAAAAATATTAAAGAAATCATGTCTCCTGGCTAAAGCGGTGAGAAAATTATTGAAAGCATTAGCAAATGCCCCGACAGGCACTCCGTGCTCCCATCGGATCACGGCCCTCCGATGAATATCAGGGATGAGGTTCTGTGGCTTGGTAGCACTGCGACCGCGCTTAGGAGGTCGCTCGGTACCTGCGAAACAATAAAAATCGGGTGGCATATAAATCAATCCATATCGATGATAAAAAGTAAAATAATAACCGATAAAGTATAAAAATCTATTCACACCTTTCAGTTCGATGCATCTATGCCTTGCTTGTTCGTACCTACGCTGCGCGATAGGTCGCAAAGCATGATAAGATTCCCAATCACCCTTCATCTTGGTCGGGTCGTGGACTCGCTGATCTGGAATAGAATCTGGTGGTAGTGGCGCAGCTTCTACAGCTGCACTATATGGCTCATATCTCTGCTCCTCCAATACATCTGCACGTAGCGGTGGCGGCGACGATGGTATCTCAGCATGCTGTGTAGGATCAGCATGTGCCTCTGCATCATGTGAAGCATCTCCGCTGCCTGTGTCCTGTGGCGGCGAGTCATGTGTAGCATCTCTGCGTTCTGTGTAGGAAATGTTAAAAAATAATGTTAGGCTCACATTAATAGTTTATAGAAATGTACAGATATAACATATAAATAAAAATACCTGACGTAGAGGCATGTGCGTCGCCTCTAGAATGTCCACCAAAAAGTCTCTCAAGCGCTTTCTTACGTAGTCCTTTTGTCATCTATACTTTGAAAATATAATGAGCATCCAACAAATGCATATAATGCAAATAATTAATAAATAACACATGGTAACCAGTCAAACGGATAATATAAAGGCAATACTATAATACATGACACAAACTAGCATATGATAACCAGTCAAACAGATAATATAAAGGTAATACTATAATACATGATACAAACTGATACATGATAACCAGTCAAACAGATAATATAAAAGCAATACTATAATACATGACACAAACTGATACATTATTATGACGATGTTGAGGCTCTACTCTGCGACCGTGTGCGGTTAGCCTGAGACCATGTGCGTGCCGACAAAAGGACTGTTCTTATAGTTTTATGGACTCCGCTGCGAACTGGTTTTTTACCTTTACGCCTTGGTTCACATTTAATCGCAGGTACATCAGGGCATGCTAGTGTAATTTCATCCATCAGATTATTATTTTGTGTCAAGGAAAACTCAGTAACTGTTTCGTCGGCCAAGATAACCTCCTCATCGTGATCTTCGTCTGACACAGCTTCATGAATGTAGGCTCTAGGCGGATTCTTAAGTACAACCCATTTGTCATTTTTCATTATATCTTTGACATAAAAGCACTGTTTGGCGTGAGCAGCTAACATGTACTTTTCATTCTGATATATTTCCTTGTTAAGATTAACGAGTGTGTAACCGTAGTCATCCTTCGTCTTTTTCAGCTCACACCAACGAACCTTAAATATCACATGTCTGACTTCCTTATTAATCCCATAGAAAATCTCCACGATGTCTTCTACCTGATCGTAGCAATAGAATTCACCTTGTATTGGATTTAGATCTTTTGAACTAGCGTATGACAGTTGCGAAAATAAGCAAAACACACCGTTGTTTTGCGTTTGACGTCTCTCTTCGAAACCGATGGTGTTAAACCTAAATCCGTTGACGCAGTAGCCTCCATAATGCTTAACCACGTTAGAAGGACCTCTGGCATATAAACATATTTTCTCAGACAGGTTAACCCCATTCGTAATCCGTTGGTCAACCTTTAAGAAATAAAACAAATAGTTTAAATATCTGGTGGTAGGCACGTATATTTGATATACTAATCAGATATGTAAAGAATATCTTACTTCACCCTTCAGCCATGTAGGGAATTGTCGAGAGTGTGTGTCCATAACTCTTTTATTTTTTGTTCTGCATTTAAGAGTAGTCTGGACATATCGGATGTGAAGCCTAGAATAGAATCATTTATAACGGTTAAATAGAGATAATTATTGTGATTGAATATGATCTAATTCAAACGGCTAAATACTTATGCCGCGTATATGTTAAATGTAGTATCATTGCTCAGGATATATGTGTGGGCTTGATCTAGCTCCATTCTGGGGAATCTAGTGTCCTCCCCACGATCATTATAGAATGTTCCGTCAATTATTCGTTGGGGACGGTTGAGCCTTGTCTCCACACCCCGCAAGTAACGAGAGATGAAATTCAAACTCTCATTACTTATATAGTTCTCTGCTATCGATCCTTCAGGACGTGCACGATTATGCATCAAATGTTTCATGAAACCCAAATACCTACAAGCATATAGTTTCATGATTTGTGATAAAATAAAACCGAGTAACGGAATTTGACAAATATTAATTGAACATTATAATAATAAATACCTCTCCACAGGGTACATCCAGCGATATTGAACTGGTCCTGCGATACGTGCTTCATATGCTAAATGTATTGTGAGATGCACCATGACCGTAAAGAACGAGGGGTGGAAATAGAATTTCTATTTTACACAGTGTATTAGCTACACGTCCCTCTAATTCTTCAAACTCCCTGACATCAATCACCTTGGAGCACAACTGCTTAAAGAAACCGCAGAATTCTATTACCACCTTCGCGAGTTCCTTCTCAGCATGTCGCAACGCAACCGGGAGAAGTTGATGTAATAGAATATGATGGTCATGTGTCTTGAGTCCCAAGATTTTTCTGTCCTCAATATGCACATTTGCTGAAATGTTTGAAGCATAACCATCCGGTATCTTCACAGACTTTAGAAATAAACACATATTGTGGACCTCATCCTTCGATAGTGTGACACGGGAGGCTGGGAGTTCAAACTTTCCGTCTCCCTTATCTATAGCTTGCAGTTCAGGACGGATGTTCAATTCTGCTAGGTCTCGTCGTGCCCTTAAGTCATCTTTCGATTTTTTCCCATCCTGCAACAAAGTGTTCAAGAGATTCTCGCATATGTTCTTCTCGATGTGCATGACATCCAAGTTGTGACGTATTTTTAAACTTCTCCAATATGGAAACTGATAAAATATACTGAATTTTGACCATCCATGCGGAAGTTCAGTGCCCTTAGAGACACGCCCATGCGACTTGGCTCTGCGAGGCTTATTTCCTTTCGAATTGCCTTTGAGAAGTCGCTTACCCTTTCCCTTTCCCTTCCAATTTTGCTTCAATATTTTTCTCCTAACCCCAAATGGATTTTCTTTGTTGAATCTTTTCTTTCCAAATATTTTTCTAGGTAGTGGATGTAGAAGCTCAAATATTTCTTCCCCGGTCATCATTGGTGGTGCCGGTCTGTTTTCTGGATTACCGTCGAACTTTCCTATTAACTTTCTGAACTTGTGCCCTGTAGACAACCATCTTCTGTGTTCCCAATAACAAAACTTACGGTTGTATTTTAGAAACTTTCCCTCATAGTCTGACATGCAAACCGAACAAGCAATCTGACCCTTTGTCGACCATCCAGACAGGTTAGCATATGCCGGAAAGTCATTAATTGTCCACATGACCATTGCCCGCATATAGAAAGACTCCTTACCATAAGCGTCATAAGTGCTGACACCTTCTTCCCAGAGAAGCTTCAGGTCGTCAATTAATGGTTGGAGGAAAACGTCGATGTCATTTCCAGGAGAATATCTTCCAGGGATCAAGAGTGATAGTATCATGTACGGCTGCTTCATGCACATCGACGGTGGTAGGTTGTACGGTGTCAGCAACACTGGCCAGGTAGACCAAGCGGAGCTCATTAATCCAAACGGATTAAATCCATCACTAGCAAGCCCCAACCTAATATTCCGAGACTCCTTACCAAAGTCGGGGTATATACGATTGATGTGCTTCCATGCTTCACCATCAGCAGGATGTCTCAGTTTCCCGTCCTCTTTGCGGTCGGTCGAATGCCATCGCATATTCTCAGCCAGCTCGGCAGACATAAAAAACCTCTGCAGCCTAGGAATAATTGGAAAATATCGAAGAACCTTCACAGGGATTCTGCTCTGTTTATTGGATGAACCGCCTTCGGATGTGCCCGTATGTTCTTTTCAGTGTGATACATGACACGTCAGACATTCCTCAAGAGCTTCATTACCCTTATTGTACAGGATGCAGTCATTAGGACATGCATCTATCTTCTTGTAATCAAGCCCCAGCGTATCAACAATCTTGTGAGCTTCGTAAGAGGTTGCGGGGATGCTCTTCTCACCGCCTGGAATGACTTTCCTGAGCAAATCTAATAACATCTCAAAATGTGTAACAGCCATCCCACTGAGTGTTTGGATATGAAGAAGCCACAACATAAAAGAAAGCCTTGTGAACTCCTTGCACCCCTCGTATAACGGTGACTCGTTTTCTTCAACAAGTTTCATCAATCGGTCTACATCTTGAAATATATCAGTAGTGTTGACATCACTCGAAGACGGCGCTGCAAGAATATCTTCCAACATATCAGTCGTGTTAACTGTCGGATTATCGACATCAGTGAACTCTTCCTCTAATTGCATCACCGGGACGCCTTCACCGTGATGACTCCAAAATACATAAGAGCTATCAAATCCATTGATTGACAGATGGAAACTTACGTCACTCTTAGTGAGTATTTTACCATTCCTGCAATTCTTGCAAGGACAGAAAATCGACTCACTCGGCGACCGTAGAGGGTTGGTGTCAGAGTAGGTTAAGAAGACTTCTATTCCATCCTTGTATCGGGTGTCTAGATGCCTCCGATCACGTGGTATGCTCATGAACGATTTGTCAGAAACTGTCTGCATCTAGAATTTAAAAATTAATGGAAGTGAGTATATCCCTACATATATCATTTTAATTTAGAACAAATGTGTGTGACCGGCTGTCAGAGGAAGGCTTCTATCCCATTAGGTATGTAAACGTGACGTGTATATGTATTTACGTGTGTTCAAGTGTACTATCATTTCGTCAAAATTTGTAAGGAGAGAACCCAAATTACTATATATAGAAGAAGGTCTTCAATAAGGTTAAGAATGTTACGCGCAGCGAAAATTTCGACAGCACCTCGACAGCACAACAAGAGAGTCAGGTCGCAATAGGAATTCCTGTTTCACAAAGGAAACAAGAACCTTAAGCAAAATATCTCAACAAAGTGAGATATCAGCTCTTCCTCTCATCAGTTCTAGGACTGACCTGTCGAGGGAACCTAAATAAGCTATTACAAATCACAAATAGAAGTTAGGGTTTGTCTGCAACTTGCGATAGTACAAGGGATCATTCGCATATAAAATGTCAAATTTGAGTAGTAGAAACGAAGCATAAGACGGTACCAAATAACGTACAACATACATATGAGGATAGATGTTTATAACACGTTAGTCTACTGAATATGAACCGTCTCATACATCAACATGCAATAAACTTATAAAATAAAATTATCATATTGTAAAGAACTACAAGTAGCACTTGCTAAAAGAAAAGAGCTAAACATAATAACAAACTGTGCATCTTAAAAGTCTTTTAAGTTTTCTGATTAATTTAGTTAATTATCATACTATAATTTGGATGGTCAGCATTGACGTGTAGTGCGAGCCTCGTAGAAAATCAAAGATCAAGTGGTGACCTCAATTGCTTATATAACTTGTTGACTTGTTATCATACAATATCATCTTAGAAATTATGAAGGTTATAAACAACTACTAAAAAGATCGGAAATAGTAGAACAAATTACTAGTGATCAAGTGACATAAAACTACCCAGAAAGAGATGTCAAGTGCAAAACTCAAAACTTCGAACAAGATGAGATGAGATTAACAATAATTTCGACTTTACATGCCATAATAGCAATTAACAAAGAAATAATAAATAAATAAGCAAAACTTCTAATAGGTTTCAACAGTGAATAACAAGAGACACAGTACATGCCAAAATCTCCTTTCAAACTTTCATGTAACTGTTTTAAATAAGCAAAACTTTCATGTATCTGTGATAATTGTTTTTATTTGCCGAACAGGTTGTGCAACCCCATTATCTAAGGATGTATTTTTGGCAGTAGATTAGAAATCCCACAAAATCCCAAATATCTCAAGGTAGTTTTGTGAAACTTATCTTTAACAATCATAACTTCTGACAATATGCACGCGTTAAGCTAATGAAAGGTGCCTAATTAAGAGACAAAAGAAAGGACACCAAAGGGAAAAAATTTACTAACACCCAGGGAAAAAAATTTACCACTAGAGGAGATAAGACGAGGTTAGTTTGCAATTTTGATTTTTATGGGTTTTTTCAAGTTAAAAGCAGTTAAAGTAGCGGTTAGTAAACAACAAATGTGTAAGGGAACAATATCGGGTAAAACCAAAACTTTGGCTAATTATAGCACTTAAATACCTTATGCATTATTCTACTTTGCACTTTTATGTCCTAAAGTTGTTAATAGTTAAAGTACCTTAAGTTATGCGTGAATTCTGTTCTGAAATATCTATGTGGCACTCACAAAATAATTTTGGAACTTTTGACCCTTAATTAAATAATTTTCAGTGGGTATATCACATTTCCAAAAAATTTAGCTGCAGTGGATAGGATCCGTTTAAGATGGTTAATAATTACAAAAATAAAAGAAGTTATCTTTCAAAATAAATATTCTTGCGAATAACTTTTTTAGCAGGAAAATGTTTTAAACAATTTGAGGAAGGTAAATTATTTTATTCCTTTAGGCTGTGTTTGGCAAGGGGATAAATGGGGGATTAAGGGGGTTTAACCCTTCATTATACTGCCAAACACAAAAAACAGCCCAATGACTAACAAACCCGCACGTGAGCGTTTTATCCCATTTAACCCGTTAACCCAAGGGTTTACTAATACTCGTGAGAAGGCGGAACAAGACTTGTTCCGCCTTCTTACGCGAGGGTAGCCAAAGGAATTTAAGAAAAATTGATTTCATCTGTATCTTTTGATGGCCGGCTGCGGAATTCGGTAGCAAAAATCGGAAGGTAAGATCTTCCGATTTCCCTGTAAAATTTCCCCCCAAATGTGTTTCCCTCTTTTTCTTTCCCTCCAAAATTTCCCTCTAATATTTCCCTCTACTTTTTTTCACCTGGGAGATCTTTCACAACTATTAATATGGATATTTTAGGGGAACAATCAAGAAGAGGGGAATTTTCAGCCGACGGGAGGCAAAGGATCTGAGGTATGTTATCTAAATAAATTCCTATTTCTTGATTTTCATACTTTCTCCTTACCTTTGTGAAAAATCGAATGATTTATATGTTTGTGTACACTTGTAATCAACAGACGCCTTGGCCATGCCATATATCTATAATCAAGCACATCATGTTCACGCTAATTTTATACACATATACCGGAAGAAAACTCAAATTAAGTTCATGTAATTTTGTTTCTGATTTTTTTTTCTAGTCCGTTGCAATTAATTTTGTTGGTATGCAGATATTGCAAGCTTTTGGAGAACCTTTTAGCTTTTGTTTATGAATTTGACATAAGATTTAGATTACTCAGCTATCTTCTTGGCTATTTTTATGCTAAAGTATTGTTTCCATTTCATACTATTAATTTGATCACAGCCTAATAGTTGACAGATAATCGGTAGCTTAGTTTGTATATTTTAGTTAGGTCACAGCCAAATGGAATACAATAACACAATGAGAACCTGGAGGTTTAAGGACCTGTGATGTTTAGAAATACAATCCCAAAATAAAGATAACTGGTCATATTAGCTAAACAAGATTTTACTAGATCAAGTCCTTGTTTCTCAAGCTGTTCTTGATGCATACAACATTACTGATGTACATTGTTCAAATCTATATCTTATAAACTGAACTAAGATGAGAATCCGAAGAGAGTAGTTTTTGCTAGCATGCTTTTGTTTGAATTCCTGTTGGTTATAAGTTTTCAATTGTTTAGTGGCTTCAAACAAATTTTTTTGTCTGGTATTTGTGACATAAGGAAAACAATATAATATATTTGACAACAAGCTTTTGTTTAGTGGCTTCAATTATTGGTTTGATCTTCTTCAACTTGATCCAAAAGCACCCGAGGCACAAAACATAAGATTTAGATTAGTTAGTTGAGTGCATAATATATCATGCATCGGGAATTTTTAGGATTTTAATGCAATTAGTTTTGCATTAGATATCATGCAGGGAATGCTCCCAAGGATCTTGCGTCCACTTTATCTTGCCTCTCTTTCAAATAATGCTTGGTTTTCCCTTAAACTGTAGATGAATGTATTTTCATTATTAAAGTCTGCATTCATTTTCAAAGCTAAGGGATAAGGACATTATACTGCAGGTAACAACAAATTGTAGAGATTTGTGTTACACACCTTTACCATCTAAGCACTTAAAAATTCCTTATCCTGCCATATGTACAAAAAAAAATTTAGATTTCCAAGCAGGTTTATGAATAACACCTGCATGATACAATGTTTTGGATTGTGATTAGGATGCCTGTCTTAAGCTTGATTTTTATCTGTCAAATACAATGTTTTGTCTTCACTTGAGAATTAATATAGATGATTAATTATGCTTTCCATGATTTCTCACCGTTGAACTTTGTTAAACATTTTTAACCCCATTATTTATAACGTCATCCATATTGGACCTATCACTTTCATTATTGCAAACAAAGTCCTGATAAAGCTCTCCCATTACAATCACATGCACTCAATCTTTAGCTAATAAGAAACAAAAAGTTTGAAAAATATAGCATTGACAACTTGAGAGAGAAATACAAAGCTAATTCAGTAGACTTGTTCAATTTGGATGTTGATTTGTGAACTGTTTAGAGTATAAATTATACCTTCACCACAACTACAAAATTTTGATGCAGGGAGGGATTTTAACATGGAACATATATCGATATTACTCGTTCAATTTCATTATTGCAAGCAAAGTCCTTTAGATTTACAATTTTATTTATAATCCTGTGAAATATCTGTTTGTATATTTGTTCACATAATTCCATCGAGCCTGAACTAAACCAAGCTCAGGATTTCTCTGCATAACAATTTGAATTATGTTAGCATACATTCTTCTGATATAAAAACCTTGCTAGAGCTGGACATTGTTTACCTTAAAATGTGGAACTGTCTGCTTAAGGAAATCAGGGTTTGGTAGAAAATCAACATCAAATATGGCCACAATTTCATTGTTCTTGACATAATCACAGCTCAAGGCTGATTTAAGGTTCCCAGCTTTGTATCCATTTCTCACCAATCTGTGCCTATAAATAATATTGACACCCTTTGGCAATACAACTACTTGGGAGAATGCATCATACCTTGCAATGCATAGCCCAAATCTTATAGTTATTTATATTGATTTGTTACCATAGTTTGCAATGCGATATGTTGCAAAATACATTGAAATCATTATTAGAATACAAACTATGTCTGACATCATAAGTGCACACATGCTATTGTGATGGTGTTTTCCTACTGAACTATGGTTTGTACGTCCTCTCATATTTATATGTTTTTTTTCACTTAATCGAACTATGTCTGGAAAATCAATATCAAATATACACAGCAGATTCATATGTAGGGCGAATGTAGGCTTACAGATAAGTTACACATCAGACTTCGAAAGGACAAATCTTGGCAGACCACTTACTGACTATGTCTGGAAAATCAACATCAAATATGGCCACATATTCATAGTACCGAATGTTAGACCTGTTATTGAGGTGATGGTAGTTTATGTATTTTGTAACTAAGTCTTATAACATAACATTGTTTATGTTTGATTTTGTATTTCTTTGTATTTCCAACCATAGTTTCATACGGCATTGTTCAATTGATTAAATTTCTTTAAATTCTCATTATGGATCTAATGGCTAAGAAGAACTCAATCTCACAAATCTCACCCGAGTGGGCAGTCAGACCTCGTGGCCAGGAACGGACCTATAGAGACGGGGAAGGGGAGACGCGGCGGAAGGGAGATAATTGTTGATGGGAATATTAAAACGGAAATGGTCCTAAAGGAAAGAACATGAGGTCATTTCACTATCCGAGCAATGCAAAATCGTAACGATGAGTAATAAAGTAGGACTGGACAAGGACAAGAGAAACTACAAATGGCAAAATCGTTATAAAATTTGAAAAACAATATTCCTCAATTACAACTCCGAAATAATAATCAGGTTGGGGTTGGGATGAAGGTAAAATAGTGTGTGATTGGACCTACTGCAAAATTGGGAGCATGATAAAGGTATTATTAAATTCTAGAATTGAATTTGAGATATTTTAATAAATTATTATATATATATGAATTTCTACTACAGGCAGAAATGAGAGTATTTAAGAATTAAGAACAACTTTTCCTCAGTTGCGATATGGATTTTCTATTGGAGTAACAATCTATGGGCCGGCTGGTGGTTTGGGACTACTGATGATTCCACACTGAGGTGAGGAAGCACTATCGATAGATGAATTATGAGACAACTGATGGCCCACAATAACGAGATATGATTTGAGTATTCGAGGAAGTACAAAAGCTGAAGAGACACAAGTTTCTTTAATGGACACACCACATCACAACAATACCTAGTTCTACTCCGAGCGTAAAAGCTTCACGCTCAACCGCATCAAGGATTTAAGCGCAGTTTAAAAATTCTCGTCGTCGAGTATGAGGTTTGAAGTTGAAAATAATTTGTCAAAATGATTGAGCTCCCAAGCAGGCGAGTTGAATTAAAAAGAGCTAATAATTCCAGAGGGTGCCTACTGAAATGAATGGTGCAAGGGGGGGGGGGGCGGCGGATGAAATGCAATTTACCTAGGTGTACGTGATACTGTGCAATTCTACTTTTAATTCTTAATCATTTATACTTACATGCATATGCAATTCTACTTTTAATTCTTAATCAGACATGTTCATACCTATTTAGTTGGTGTCAGATTATACTTACATGTATATGCAATTCTACTTTTAATTCTTAATCATTTATACTTACGTGTATATGCAATTCTACTT